AGTGTCTCGCGCACGATGGCGCTCATCTCGGCGGCCAGCCCATCGTAGTGCAGGCACACGTCCATGGCGCGCCGCGCGTAGGCTGTGGGGTCCTGCGCAAAGGTGTGAGATGCCTTCTCTGAGGCCAGCCGCATCTCCAGGTGTCGCAGCTGCTCGAATGCCGCCACCAGTTGCCGCTCGGTGATGAGGTCGGCCACGGATTTGCCTTCTGCGAAGGCAGGAAGAAGAGGGGTGATGGGAGGACCCAGCCCCCCCCCCCGACCCTGGGCCCCACTGAAAGCCTCTAAGAGGAAGAAAAGAGCCGTTGGTGCAGCCCCTCCTGCTGGCCTGCAGCCCCTACACCTTCTCTCCACCCCTACTGATTGGGTCTAGGCGCTCCCTGACTACAGGTCTAATAGGGTCAGAGCTCAGGCTGGGCGTTTCCTGCCATTCAATGTCAACTTGTGGCTGCTCTGCCCTTTTGCCACTTCCACGCCCTAGGCCCTGGACTTCTACAATGGTCGAGATCCAGGTTCAGATCCCAGCATAACCTCTCTGAGCTTTACTTTCTCCTGGGGGTGTGGTTCCTTTGCTAAGATGTAGTAAGAACTTGAAGGGTAATTGAGCAGGAGAGTGTGGGTGTAGGAGAGTTGGAAGCCTGGGCTCAGCTGCTGCCCCCTCCAGCCTCAGTTTCCCCCGTGGGCAGTGTGGTCCATGGAGCCCTAACCTGCCTCAGGCTCCATTTCCTCAGGGCCCAGCCAAGATGTTGCCTGCTGGCTGGCACCACTCCTGACCACAGAGGGCTCCTCTAGCACAGCAGCAACCTGGGACTGGCCAGCAGCTGGACCCTGACCCACAGCTCGCCGGAAGGACTGGAGCAGGGAGCCCCGGGAGCTTCGCTGGGGCCGGCCTGGGTCCTCCTTGGGCAGCTGGGTGGCACCCCGAGGGCTTGCCCAGGACAAGGCCCGCCGAAATGTGCCCAGGCCTGGCTTTGTGGAGTCCACATGGTGCGCCTTGGTCTCCACCCTGCTGTTCGACCGTCGGGTGCCCCAAGCTGGTGTCGCTGGACCCCCAGGCTCCTGGGGGCTTTGCAGCTCTGTTCCAGGGGTCAACTTCCGTGGGGACAGCATCTCAACAACAGGAGGCCTGGGGGTGAGAAGGAGGCTCAAAAAGCCTGGAGGAGATTACTTACATTTAGAAATGGGAAGAAAGGAGCTAAAGGTGTAGGGAAGGTGGGATGGGTAGGGGAAGGGTAATAAGGGAAAAGAAAAAAATGTGAGATAATGAAAAGATGAAAATAAAGTGTTTGTAGATGGGGAGGGGAGGAGGGGGTGAAGGGAGGGCAGGGGTAAGGGGGAAAAATGAGAATCAAGACTTGTCATGTAGAGGTACAAGATCCCAACAATGAATGTAACTGTACTGTATCCCTAAAATGTACCAATAAACTCAATTAAAGCTGGAAAAAAAAAAGCCTGGAGGGCACCCTGGTGCCACCCAGTAACAGGTCCCAGGGGCTCGGCCAGACCCAAGCTGTTCAGGGCAGGCTCCCAGGCAGCAGCAGCACTGAGCTGTCAGAAGGGAAGCATACGTGGCCTGGCTGGAGCACCCACGCCCAGCTGCAGGTAGGCATGGGACATGGGTACTTCTCTACCAGGAAGCACTCACAGTGCCCTCAGAGGGGGCCTCCCCAGCTGCCTCCCTCACCCAGTCTGCCAGGCCCCACTTCACATCAGAACTGGAGGGCGGAGCTGCAGTGGGACCTGGGGCCATCCTACCCCCAGCCTGCAAGGAGGGCAGGACTGTGACCACATCCGGGTCACCTTAGTCCTAAAATGACCCAACCCTCCCTCCAGAAGCCCCTTTGCTGCCTTTTGGAACCCCTGGCTCACCTCTTCCCCCAAAACAAGAATGGGGCCCACCCTGCCCTGTTGTCATGGAGTTGGAGGCCAAGACCACCCTGCTCCTACCACATCCCACAGCACCCCAAGGGAGGTGGTGCAAGGGACCTCGGTCTACATTTAGCTGGGGCTGCAGGGCATCCATGTTGCTCTTCCTCTGTACCTCCCCCTGGCTCCTGGGTCCCCACAGTGCAGAGTGGCACCAGGGACCAGGGCTGTGGGAGCCACCAGAGGCTGGCTATCCCTGAGGCAGGGCAGGAAGGAGGAGGGGGACTTCCTGGCTGCCGTGACCTCTACCCACCTCATTGTGCAAGCAGGTCAGGGTGGGGAACGGCATTGAGAGCGGGGTTGCACTTTACCCTTGGAGAAACTGAGGCCCAAAGAGGGGCCTGACCCGCTACCGTCACAGACCCAGCAGAAGCAGAGCCCTCAGCCCCTCTCCTGGCTACCTGTCACTCCCACAAAGCCCAGGCTGGAGCAGCACCAGACCTGGGGGATGTGGGGCCGGAGCTGCCCTCCCAGGCCTTGGTTCTGGGAAGACATGCAGGGCAGACCCTCACCCATGCCCCCAGGCTGCTGGGCCTATTTCCCTCAGGCTTCAAGCTGGCAGCTGGAAGGAGGCCCAGCTGGGGAGCCAGCCCAGGTGATTGATGGGGCCTTATCGGCCCCGCCCCAGCCACAGGTCACCATCTTCCCTGACCCAGGGTTCAGGGACCCTGCCCAGCTCAGACCTGGCCACATGCAGCAGGGGACTGCCCAGGTGGCCTCTTGGCCACCGTCCCGGCTCCCTTGGTGCCTGGCACAGGGGACATAAGGGACAGTTCCGGTCAGGCTGCCCCTGCCCTGCCCCTGGGTGGCTCTGGCTCCCTATCACCACTGTGGTGGGGAAGGAGGACTTGGACCTATGGTTGGATATAGGAAATAAAGAAGGAGGTAACAAAAGCCAAAGCTAAGGCTGTGGTCAGGGTCACCCAAGGCGATCCATTTCAGATTCCCTCTTTCCTTCCAAAGTCCTCAGACTCCAGCTTCCTTGAGGACACTGCAAGTCCACAAATGGGCTTGGCTGAGAAGGTAAAGATCAGGAACCCAATCTTCAGGTAAAGAAACAGAGTATTCAAAGAATGATTAAATTGCTCATCTAAAAAAAAAAGACAAAGAGCTCTGATCTGTAAAATGGGCCATTGTCCTGCCTTTGCCACTCACCCCAGGAAGCACAAATGTTCTCAGTGCCAGGAAACGCACTTTCCCTGCTGGGGGCTCCCACTCTTTGTGCACTTTTAAATTTCTTCTTAGAGCCAGGTGTGGTGGTACACACCTGTAATACTAGCACTTGGGAGGCTGAGGCAGTTTTGCCTTGAGTTTGAGACCAGCCTGACCTACACTCAAAAATACAAAACAAAACAGTTCCACCTAATAAATCCCTTATGCCTCTTACTGATGCGTCCTGCAGCCTGTCTGTCTGTGGGAAGTCAGTGAGCTGCAGTTTCCTGGGCACAGAGTGGGCCTGGGCTCTTATCCACATGGAGAACCTCCTAGGACCCTGTCTGGAGACAGGCCTGCCTTGGTGGCGTGGCCAAGAGGTCACACTTAGTAAGCAGCACTGTATGCGCTGCCCAACAGCTGACACACCCCAGGTCCCCAAGACTCAGTGTTGAGGGTGTCATTTTTCCTGCCTCCCAGGGAAGCTGAGGCAAGAGGGGGCCGGATCTTGCCTCAATACATCCAGCTCAGTGGTGGGGGCTGGATGGGGCCAGGACTCAGGGATGCTGCAAGGTGCTCCTGCACAACAGAAGACCCAGTGTGGGGAGCAGGGTTCAGAGGGGTCCACCTGGATTGACCTTCCTCCAGCTTTCACCTTAGGGGCCCCTCTGATCTGCACCCCTCCAGCCTTCTGGGCCTCCCCTGTCTGCACACCCCACCTCCCGCCTCCCTCCAGATTCCCCCCACCTCCATCACTCTGTTCCCCACATCCAATCTGGGCTGCAGGGTGCAGGGGCATCCCCACCTCCAAGAAGTCCCTGAGGGGGCCTGGCCTCCTCCCTGGCCTGGAGCCTCCCGCCCCAGAGCACAGTTGAGGAGCAGTGCGCTTTCCCCCTGAGGATGCCCTGTGGTCCCCAGGCTGCGGAGCTGGTGACACAGCCTCCTCCAAGGGTTCCCAGCCAGGCCTCTCCCCTCTGCCTGCCCATATAGCCTGGGGTCTATGCTGCTGCCCTAGCCCATGGTCCTGCACACCCCTGCAGGGCCAGCTGCAGCAGTGGGAATGTCATACAGAAGACACTGGCATTGGAAACTCCCACCCTGGGCCACCCAGGCCAAGAGCAGAAAGTCAGGCCTACACTTCACCTGCCTCCTGCCCCAGACTGCTGTCGCAGCACCCACCCTCCTCCCCGCACCCCCAGCCCGAGACTGGCCCATCACCCCTCTTCAGAGTCAGAAGTAGCTGGGGTGTGGCTGAGTGTGAACACCTTGGTAGATCCCATCAGAAGTAGCCACTGCCACCACAGGCAGGTAAATGACTGTGCCCTGCGCCAGGTCCTGGGCAGACTAGGCTCCTCCAACCTCCCCACAGCCACCACAACCACCTGCTCTCAGCCCCCTAACCACTCGCCTTCCCATCTTGGGCATGTCTTCCTGGAGCAGTCCGGAGGCTACTGGTTCCTAGAGCCACCTTACACAAGAGCTAGACATTGTCTCCTACAGTAAGGACAAGGACAAGGGCCTGTGTCTCACTGCCACCCCAGAGCATTTGCCTGAAGAATTACAGCAACAGACAAGATACATAGGAGACCCCCTCCCAGGTGCCACCAGGCCTACAGCCCTCTGGCAGCTACCCCCAGAAGTGCAGCCTTCTCCTTTCCTTTGCATTCAAGGCTCCTTGGGCTTCCTCTGCGCCCCTTCACACCCACCACTGAGAAGCACTCACCTCACCTTTTCGCAGGCTGCTATCCAGGCCCTCAGCACCGCACCCTGCTCAGTTGCAACCTCCCTCCAGGCTCAGCAGAAGTGGCTCCTCCTCCCAGAACTCAGTCCACACCTGCTCTGGCCCCAGTCCCTGCCCAGGGCGCCTTCTCCCGTGACTGAGGGATAATTATGGGGCCTGGGCCAGGTGCCCTGGAGCAGGGAGTGGGCTGACCTGGCTGCAGCCAGCCGGCAGGTGGCAGGTGCACATGCAGGAATGCATCCTGGTGGGTCTGAGGCTGAGCATGTGTCCTTGCCGTGTGTGCCCGTGCCTGAGGTGCCAGAGCTGCCCCTGGGAGTGGCCATCCTAGGCGGCCACAGCCAGAGACGGAACAGTGCCAGTCCCTGAGTCTGCGCCCACTGTCCCCGCACCGTGTGCCCTCATACCTGCTGAGTGAGCAGACCCAGCCCTGGCGCAGGGTCCCCCAGAGGCCAGGCAAGCGGGGCTCTGAGAGCCGGGCTGGGCATGGGGCCTCCAAGGAGTCCAGGCGTGGCTGCCCAGGCGGGAAGCACACAGCTGGGACTTCCCAGCTGCCAGGCCCCACCCCCGCCCTGCCCCCAAACCTTTCACTTTCAGAGAAGTCCCCACCCCTCCTCCCAGCCCAGATGGAGCCAAACTTTGATCCCTGCAGCAGAACACAGGATCATAGGCCAGGGTGCGGAGGGATGGAGCGCAGCTCTGAGGACAGTGGCAGAGGGGGAGACAGGCCCACTAGCCCCTGCCGTGGCCAGGGGCGAGGGTCTCCTCTCTCCAGGGAGGTGCACAGACTCACCTGTCCTCCAGGCTCACCCCAAAGCCCCAGCACCTGCTGAGACGCAGGCCCTGGTGAAGGTGGACCCATGATGGCCAGGGCACAGCTGGGCCAGAAGAGGGGACACACGGTGACTCAGGAGTGACTGTGACCACAGAGGGCCAAGCCTGAGTGATGGACGGGGAATGTGGGCAGCAGATCAGATCCAAGAGGCAAGTCAGAGCAGCCCCAGACTTCCTAGGGGCATTCCACTGGAGCGTCTGGAAAGAAACCGGGAAAATCTGCAGGGACAGATCCAGGCCTGTCAGCCCAAGAGAGGCCTGTGCTGGGCACTGTCATCACAGTGGGGAGCTGAACTCCAGCACCTCTCTCCACCCGCAGGCCGCCTCCTCGGTGGTCATAGGTGTCCCTGTGCCCAGCCCATCCCTGTACGGGCCTCATTATAACTTGTGACCCCTTTAAAGACCCCGCCTCCTAATGAACTCTGTGGTTCAGCCTTTGACATAAGGATGGGGGACAGCAGCATTCAGCCCCTAGACTGGAAGGTGTCTGGGACACTGTGGGCCCCGGGCCTTCAGACCCAGAACTTCCTCTGGGAAGCCCTCAGCTGACCATCTGAGGTGCTGGCCCCTCCACCTGGCTGCCCCGTGCGCGCACACGTGTGTGTGTGTGTGTGTGTGTGTGTGTGTGTGTGTCTCAATTCAAGCCTGAGCGGTGACCCTGGCCAGGTCTCTCCCTCAGCTCCTCCAGCAGCCCCACTGGCCTCCTGGCCTGCGTGTGTCCAACAGCTGTGACCAGGAGACAGGCAGTCACCGCTTGAGGGGACTTTCCAGGTGACCTCCCCGAGGCACATGGCCCACAGAGACCAGGACCACACCCAGGTCACCTCTGGGCCCTGATGCCTCCCCTCAGGTCTCCTCCATTCAGGTCATCCATGTCCAAGCAGCCTATTGTGCCCAGGGTGTGGGGGTGCTGCTCACCGAGCGTCCCCAAACTCCCAGAAGCGCCCAAGGTCTGCTTAAACCATGTTTTATTTCTCAAAGTTCTCAGTAAAATCCCTGTGGAAAAGGTCAGTCCTCCTTCTGGGAGCCAGACACAGGCTGACCCAGGGTCAGGAGAAGGCAGAGCAGGGGCCACTGAGAGGGAGGGTAAAGGGAGAGGCACTGGGGCCCAGGGTAAATGGGAGTTTTTTTGGGATTAAATGGATTCACCTCACTGAGAGCCCGCTTCCAGGTAGGGAAGTGCAGGGAGAAGCGCCCAGGGGCCTGCTGTGCTTGGTGCTGGCATCTCACCCCCCCCTGGGGGTCCACGGTGCAGAACAGAGACCCTCCTCTGCCCTCCCGGCTGGGGGCGGCGCCCACTCCCGCCCCTTCACCTGGGGCGCGATTTCCCTCTTTCTGTAGCAGGTTTCCCTCTCACCCGCCAGGGGGAGCCGTTGGCCGATTCCGGGGCTCAGGATGCCGGTCGAGGGGCGGGACGTTACTGGCCCCGCCTCCAGCCGCTCCTGCCCTGCTTGCTCAGATCCTCAGGGTTCCAGGTTCGAGGGGAGGTCTTCTCCACGCGGGTCCCCTGGCAGACAGCAAGCCTACCAAGGGTGTTGTGTTGAGCCCATCCCAGCCGGGTCTCCAGTAACCTGGCATTCTGCCCCAGTACAGCTGTGCCGTGTTTGGGGGTAGACATCTGTCTCAACACCCCACATTCTGCTCTCAGGCTCCTGCACTCCCCACCCACGAGTGGGCAACACTTCCTGAGAGGTGTCTGCTCCCACCCTGTCCTCCCTCACAGCTTGGCCCAGGGTTTAAAACTGCAGCACTCCCAGGGCCTTCTGGCCTCTCCCCCACTGCCCTGGCATCTGGGTTGGGGAGAGGGCCTATCTACTCTGGGGCTAGTGGGGTGCTGGGTCCTCTCCAGTCCCGGGCCTATACTCTGGGCTGAGCTCACGTGTACAGACCACAGTGTCCTCGGGCCCAGCTCAGGTCAGGAGGGGGATCCCCAGACAATAACCAGCTTCCTGTCCTTCAGCATTCCCTCCTGCACAGGACAGAGCAAATGGGCCTTGTTGATGGACCCTTGAAGGAACAAGGCCCTCAGTGAGATGGGAAGAGGTGCTTCACATTCCAATGTCCCACATGGGTTCTGTGGCCAGCTTAGTGGCTCCCCAGGAGGGGCAGGAGCCCACGCCAAGGCAGCCCACGTGTTCTGACAGCCCACGCCAAGGCAGAGTGGCAAGGTCTCCCCAAGTCCAGGGCAGTGGCCCCAAAGTCTTCCATGCTACTCTGCCTACCCTGTGAGCCAAACACTCACACAGCCACCGACCTGGCACCGTGGAACCTAAACTGGCCTCGGCCCCTCAGTCCCCACCAAGAGTGGCCACCAGGAAGCGCCTTTATTTCTGCTTCAAACCACTGAACAAGGAGGGTGTGTATCAGGCCTGGGCCATGGCGGCAAATGGCAGAGGCTGAGGCCCTGGCCAGACTTGGGGAGGCAGGAGGCTCTGCTGTCCAGAGTCCATCAGGCCCTGCCCTCTGTGCCCCAGTTTGGTCACCCTGGTGTGGAGGCACCCCAAGCAATCAGCAGAGCCACACCACATCCTCAACTGTCACTGGGCCAGGTTCTCCTGGTCCCCAAGGCTGGCACACTCGTTGCCAGTGCCATCTGCTGGTGCTCCTGGCGGACTTGTGGAGGGGCTACAAGGATATAAAAACCTCCATGTTGTGGGGCTACAGCTGGGGCAGTCCCAGGTGCTGGAGGTAAGCCTATGACAGGCACATGGGAAAGGACATGCCCCAGGGGTATGGGAGGGAGGAAGGGAGGACAGGGACCGCTCAGGGACCAGCACCCCCTTCACCCAAGAAAAGAGGTGGCAGAGTGAAGGGTGGCATGGGGCACACTGGGACCTCCCCAGGGCCCAAAGGGCAGTGCCCACTGCTGGCCTGAGCACTAGAAGGAGGCTGGCAGGGGGTGAGGGGATTGGGGCAGAGGTGAGGCTTATGGGCATGGACCTCCTGGGCACCCCAGCTGCAGAAGTCACTGACCGCAGGGCTGAGGGTGGGGACAGGGAGAGGCAGGCAGGCTGCTGAGCAGCTCCAGCTGGGGCTAAATTCATTTCCTCTCCTGGGGACAGACCCTTGGAGGGCATCAGGGAATAGATTCGGCCTTCGTGTCCCCTTGCAGGGAACCCCACTGCCCACTGGCCTCGGTCTGTCCCTGGTGACCCCTCTTGCCCATGGTCCTGCGAAGGCTCCAGCCTTTAAATATGGCACCTGCTGCCAGGATGGGAGCAGCCACAGGGCCACCAGTGTCCCCCCACACTCTCCTGTAACCTGATCTCCCTTGGCCTGGAGGCAGCACACTGGTGCTGTTCCAAGCCTGGAACCCAAGCTGGTGGTGCAAGGGGAGAATGTGCAGTTTCATTCAACACAGCTGGCCATGCCCTTCGTGGGGCCATGAGATGGGTGGGGTGTGAGCAGTTAGAGGGGTGGGGACAGTGGCCCCTTGTCTCAGCGCCCAGGGCAGCCTGGCACTCAAAGCAGCATCCTGGCTCTGAGGAGCTCACCTCTGGGTGCCCTCAGGGGTCAGCACAGCTCCCGCTTTCCACAGCAGCCACCTCGATGGGCTCCACCATGATGGAAGGCAGCTGAGGGCCCAGCCAAGGGCCCTTCTCCCAGGTGCCCACTGCAGCCTATGGGAGGGTGGGCAGGGTGAGGGTGGCACCAGGCCCTGGGCACCCCACCAGCCTGGAGCCCTAGGGCAGGGCTGAGTTTGGGGGCCAGAGGGATCCTGGGGGCCAGGTGCCCCCAGGCTCAGCCCAGAATCCTGCTTCACAGACAGCCTGAGGCTGGAGAGGCACAGTCACCCTGGAAGCTTGTTCAGGGCTGACACACACGCAGCTACCCACAGCCCCCTATCTCTGAGCAGCCCCTTCCTGGGGTCTCCTGCCTGGGCCTTGGCCTACTCCCTCTGCTTGGAGGAGCCTGGAAGCTGTTGCCATGGCAACCTGAGCTCTGGCACTCACCTCTTGGTTCAGTGCCCACAACTGCCCTCCAAGTACCTTTGGCATCTCCACCTCCCACTCAAGGCCTTTAGGGTAGAGGCTGTGGCAGGACCTTGTACCCCACCATCTCTGGTGCCCCAGCAGCCCCTGCCTGGGCAGCCCCTCCCTAGGGCCCCATCCCCATCTCTGCCAGCCAGGATGGCTGTTGGGGCAGGCTCACTTTCCCCCAGGGCACAGATGCTCGAAGGAAGGGCAGGCACCCAGCAGTCCGGGCACGCTACAGCCCTGAGAGCTGGTCCCAAAGTGTTCTGGGCTCTGCCCAGGACTTCTCTAACCAACTACCAAGGGGAGCCTGAAGTATGGGACCACGGGTACCAGCAGGCTGGGTCATCTGAGGCATGGAAGAGCAGGTGGGCCCAAGCAGGCTCCCTCCCCAGGTACCATTTCCAGAGCATGACCTGGATGGCAGAGCCCGCAGGGTGGCCGTGCCCAAGACCCCAGCTCTCCCTCCCTGGTCAGCTCAGGCTCCACTGGAGCACCATGTCTCAGGGCTCCACCCCTTTGTTCAGGGTCCTCAGGTTTTGTGCGTGGATACCCCAGAAACGGGAGTTGGGGCTGGGACTCCAGCACTATACCACCATGCAGCCAGCGAAGTGTGCTCTGGGCTTGGGGAGCAAGCCCCAGTGACCCCTGGCTAGATGAGGCCAGAGTGGCTCCCCTTCAATTGCTTTAGCCACCAGATTTCTATAAAAGAGCAGTTGGCCAGGTGTGCTGTCACATGCCTGTAATTCTAGCACTTGGGAGGTTGAGGCAGGAGGATCACCATGAATTCCAGACCAGCCTGGGCTACGTAGTAAGACCATCTCAAAACATAAAAAGTGATAAATAAATGAGCAACTGTCTTCCCAAATGAGGACAGGCATGCCCCCCCCTGCACGAGCCAGGCTAAAGGCTGGCTGCCCCATCCCATGCCACTTACTCACCTTCCCTGTGGGGCCTCCCCTGCCCTTGGCCAGGCCTTCCTTTGACACAGTGGACTGGGAGGTGCTCATGCTGCCACAGCTGCACTGAAACAGGCTGAGTGAGGGACTACTGCCACCGATCTCTCCTCCTGGAGCCCACACCCACACATGGCCCTGCCTAGATCTGCTGAGCCCCACTACAGGGGGCACTGGACACTGCCCCTCAGTGCCCAGGGCTGCAGGGCATGGGCTAGAGGAGGGGAGACTTCCTGGGAGGAAGGCCTGGGAGGCCTGGGGCCCTGGTGGGGAGCAGGAAGGAGCATGGTCCTGGGCAGGGAGTGGCGAGGGGAGGGACAAAGCACCCAGGCCTTACAGGGGTTTGGAGCCAGGAGGCTGAGAGTAGCCCCTGCAGGAACATCAGCCAGAGTCCAAGGTGCCCAGTTCCTCAGAGAGGGAGGGGGAAGGGGAGAAAAAAATGAGGGTGAGAGGGAGGGGAGACAGAGGGAGAGATAGAGACAGACAGGGACAGAGACAGAGAGTCAGAGACAGAGACTCTCACTGCACACAGGGTGCCACGTCCTCAGGGCCCTCCTCTGAGGAACACTGATGTCCCGCCTGCCACATTCACCCACCCCACGGGGGCCATGGCCAAGGCCACCAAAGCAAGGTTTGGGAAGAGGCCTGCCAGAAGTCACAGGCCAACCTCAGTTCCCTGCACTGCAGCCAGGGGCTGGGTCTGGCAGGCTGACACCCCTGTGGACAGCAGCAGGACACAGGAGAGGGCAGCAGTGCGGGAGGAGCTGGTGGGTGTCCGAGGGGCTGCTACTCCAGGCTGAACTAGACCTGGGGAGGGAGGCCCAGGCCCACCCACCGCAGACTCCCTCACCTGAGATCCCATCCAGGTCGCTGCTGGAACTTCACCAGGGCCCGGGCAGCCAGGACAGGGACCTGGAGGTCTCGAGATCCAGACAGCCGTGGGCGCGAGCTGGGGCCCAGGGACTCACAGAAGACCATAGCGCCAAGAGCACCTCCGCCTCCGTGGCTACCCACACCTGCGCGCAGGTGCGCAGGGCCAGGTGCGCCAGAGCATTATTCTGAGTCAGCACCCCTTCGCCCACCCGGCAGGGTGCCGGCTCCTCATTGCCAGGCCAACCCTGCCAATCGGAGGCAGCTCCAGGCCCGTGTCCGCTCAGACCCAGGCTCCCCGCAACCACCCATGGCCACCCATCACCCGCAGCCCGTTGTCTACCGTCAAGGCCTGCTCAGCCTTCTTGGCAGCATGGACCTCTGCTTCTGTCGTTGCCCACATCAGCGACCCAGCTTGATCCCCGAGACCCACTCCACAGCCTTCCAACCACCATCCACCAAGCGGGCTCCACCCACTGCCTTCTGCGGGTCTGTCCAGTGCGAAATCCATCCTCCAGTCACACCCACAAGGAACCCAGCACCAGCACCTCTGGGACACGCCCATCAGTCCAGCATTCACCGTGTATGTGTCTGCCACCTGGCCACACGTCACTCACCATGGAACAGCTTTCCATCCAACATTTAGCACCTGTGTCGGGTGCTCGGGCACCTGCCTGTAACCTCAGCTACTCAGACGCTGAAGCAGGAGATCATAATTTAGGAACAACTTATGGAGATCCTGTCTGAAAAATAAAAAGTGGATGGGGGTGCAGCTCAGTGGGAGAATGAGTTCTATGGCTGGTACTGAAAAAAACAGCTATCTATCCATCTGTGGCTCACGTGTTGTCCACTGTTACTAGTCAGCAGACAGGGGCCAGGGATTTAGCTCAGTGGTTCTGCTGCCTGCCTCCCAAGCGCAAGGACCTGAGCTCATCCCCAGTACCACAAAACGAAAGCAAACAAATTCAGCCTCCACCCATCCTCTCACCCACCCACCGTGCCTCCACCATTCACCACTCGCCTTCCGAGCCTCCATTCGCTAAAAGGCATCCATCTTCTTCCCAACTTTCCCCTGGTCAGAATCTACTCACCAGAGTCCAAAGTTCATTGCCTAGCCAAACCCACCTTGCACAACTAGTCCACCCTGTTCTCCGCCCAGTTAGCAACCGTCCATGCATCGCCATCTGCTCCCCACTCATGCCTCTAGGAGGGCGATCCTCCAACTCCCACGAGACATTGTCCAGCCCACGCCGCGATCCGCCCTTCAGTCCTCACCCATGAGCACTGTCCTCTGTCCACCCATCCACAGCACAGTCGCCGCACACTGCGTGTCCACCGCCATTTACATTGCCAGGATTCACTGCCGCTGGCACCCCTCCCCCACCTGTTGCCTGCAGTTTGCCAGTGCCCATCGGTCCAGCGCCCTTATCCACCCACCCTCTGCCTACCAGTAATCGCCGTCGCATAACCAGCTGCCACCCATTGGCTCTGCACCCCCCATCACCATCTGCCACACGTCCAGGTCCTGCACCGCCAAAACCTCCACCCCCACCAATACACTCATTCTGCCTCTGCATCGGTCCTCAGGGGCTCATTCACCCCTCACTCGCTCATCAGCCCCTAGTGGTCCACCCACCCACCGGCTTCCATTATTCCCGTTGTCTGCACATTACATTCTTACATTTGCAATATGTGGAAGCACCAGCCAGCTGTTTGCACTTCTATCACTCCACCACCCATTTTCATCACCATTCTATGGCCCGCTAATCCATAAACCAAACTTTCGTTCATCGATAATTACTGCTGTGTCTGTCCACTGTGAAGAGGGGAGCACAGTCCCGTGTCTCTGGGTGATGCAGCGCAACCCAAGGGCAGCAGCCCCAGGCCCCACCACCGGTTTGCAGGGAAAGAGTTGAACACGGATGGCATTGCCCCTGGAGCCTACTAGCCCCTGCACAGTGACGCAGATTTCCCTTGACCTGTGCGTAGAGGCCTGACAGAATCAAGTGAACAGCAGCACTCACTGCTCAGTGCCAGTGCTGGGCACTGGACTCCTTAAAATGAGTAAGATCCAATTCAAAGTCATGGTCCCAAGAGCCAAAAGAAGCAAACGCCAGCCTTGTGCTGTGTGCCTGTAAGCCTAGCACTCTGGGAGGCTGAGGCATGAGGATTGCAAGTTTGAGCCCAGCCTGGGCAATTTAGGAAAACCTTATCCTAAAATAACAAAGGGCTGGGGATGCGGTTCAATGTGAAGACTCTAGGTTCAATCCCCAGTACTGAAAATAAAAACAGGTGCCAGCAGGTGAGAGAGAGAGAGATCCGTCGGTGGCACTCCGCGGCCTCCAGACTCCGGTGGGAGAACTGCTCGGGAGGGGAGTTGGAGAGGGAAGCAGAGGCTGGAAAGGGGTGGCCTCGAGCGAGAGAACAAGAGGAGCTCTGTCCTGCAGGGCAGCCGCCAGCTGGGTCCTGCTGCCCGCACTGCCTCTTCCTAGGAAGGGCTCGGCGCGAGCGGAGCGGACGGAGCCCTGGCCGAGACCAAGGAGAGCCACCTCCTCGCGGCCGGGCCTGGGCTCTC